CCCCCGCCCCCCCCCCCCCCCACACCGCCCCAAGGCAAGCCTGACATGGCTCTGACCCGCAAAGCTAGCAGACCAATACAAGCACAATGAATGGCTTTCTCCCAGGACCTGGTTGCTCCTGCGAAGGCGCCCTCGCCGATAACCTGCCGCGGCCGCGGTTGCTCATGGGCCCTTTGAGGAGCCAGTCACTCTGCAAAGCGCCTCGCCGTGTCTCCAGCTCCGCTCGCCGGTCAAAGAACCTCTGCTTCTCCGAGACCCACCGAGTCGTCCCGAGGGCGAAGCGATTTGTTCCCGAGGGCTCCGACTGAAGTAAGTGGCCACACCATGCAGGAAAACGTACATCTCCTCTCCATGCCAAGGGTCTTGTGAGGGGTCTTTAGGAGAGCTGCCGCTCCGAGTGTCCTGCACGAGATCGTCCTGGTTCTCTTCATCATCATCATCGTCACCTTCCTTGGACTCCTCGATGATCTGGAACCTTGGAGATGGACGGGAGATTCTGAGATTCTGAGCCCTGAAACGGCAAGAAAGCAGCTTCCATGGGCCATGGGATGCGTCAGGAAAGGAAACTTCTCCAGCGTCTCGGTCTCTGTTTCCACGTCGACGTGGCGACTCACCACCTCGTTCACCAGCGACTCTGGCCTCAAGGAGACGAGGAAATTTAGGGTTTAGGATGGTTTAGGGGTTTAGGGCTAATCTTCAGCATATTTGGGGACCTGACACGATGTCGCATCCAGGCTCCACGATCCTCAGAGGACGACAGGGCTCCAGCGGAGCCGCCTTCTGCCAGGACCACAGAAGGATATCGGAGCGAAAAGGCTGCACAAAAGAGTGACGGAGGACTTTACGCGGTTTCGCCAGGGTGTGTTGTTCTGCACGTTCTAAACGCTAAAGGCGAGGGATCCCAAGCTGCTCAGGGCTCTTTTTTTGCGATGGTTGGCAGTTGTGTGGACAACGAGGGCACGCCAAGAGGCAGTGCGAGGGAGCAGGAGAGGAAAGTGCACGCCAGCCAGCTTACGGCAGATCACGCGAAAATTGCTCTGAACCGTCCACAAGACATCATCATTGTTCCTTCACCTGTCCTCGTCTCGGCCATCTCACGGGCTAGCCTTGCAAATTCTGGCGAGACCTCAGTTGCACTCGTGTACGCGGTGTGCTTCGTCGTTCGAAACCTGAGACCGTGACGGCCGAGAAGAACGCCGTCTTCTCCTGCAGAAGGGCCGGAGACCCTGGCCTCCAGCGCAGAGACGGCACAGACATCGAGAGAGTCACTTCCGAGACAGCGGCGGATAGCCCAGGCGCTTTTCCGCCTACGAGGCGCGGGAGGAAAAGAGAGCGGGAAAAGAGGGGAAAAGAGAGCGCTCACTCTGTCGGGGCGCGGGAGGAGGGGAGGCCGAGAAAGGCCTGCTCGCCCATGTAGCGGAGGATGGAGCCCCTCACTTTGCCCAGGTCGCTTGGGAATTCGGCCATCACTTTGCCCCAGGTCTCGCGGGTCACCACCCGGACCTGGCGAAAATGAATCGAAAGTCTCGATGCTAGGAGGTTAGGAGGAAGGCCAGGAAAAGGGAAGGGGCTTTTTGTATGCCCTATAGGGGCACCTCGCAGAAGGTGATGGGAACCAAGCGCTCGGTCTGCTTGGCTCTGGCTCCGGCCAGGATCTGAGACGAAGAAATCTCTCGAGGCAGCAGAGTGGGGGAGGGAGGCGACGAGAGAGAGAGACGGCTGGCAGCCGCGGCACGCGCTCGTTCCAGCAGCAGCCAGCCGTCAGAACCTGAAGCTCCTCCCCTGCCACGCAACAAAATCACACGCCGCCACCACCGCCGAGCGAACGCTACCAAGCCACCCCCCACGGGCCTTCTTGCGTCAGCACCGATATTTCTCCGTCGAGCACCAGGATTGCGGCCTTCAAAAAAAGGGCCCCCGCATGTCTGGGCTTCATCTCGCCCTCTGTTCCCGGCACTTGCAGATGCCTCGTTCAGAGGCGCTTGGCCAAGGCGCTTGTCGCCGGCTTCGCCTCACGGCTCCCCCGAATCACCCAAAAACGAGTGCGTTCAAGGAACAGGGACAGGCAACAAAAACTCAGGAAGGGTCATGAGAACTTCTCCGCATAGAGATCCAGCAGGTAGAGCAGTCTCGAAGACTCTCCTGACTGCTGGGATCTGCTGTGGATTGAAAGCTGAGGAAGATGACTCAAAAAGAGGATAGACTGGCCTCTAAGGCAAGGCCAGACCACGCGGGGTCCCTCCTTCTGACCCTCCAGCATGTCAGTGCTGAAGCGCTCCTTAGGTTTAGGGAAGTATGGCAAAGGGCGACCAAGCTTTCCTTGAGGCACCTTCTCTTCCGGGAACTGCTCCAGAGCCTCAGAGAGGAACGGGCCCAACGCTCGCACCATGCCAAGGGTATCTGCGTGTGCGCCTGATGAAAGACCGAGGATTGGATGCTCATCACGAAGCACAGCGTTACCTGACTGCAAGGGTTTCGATGAAAAGGTGCTCTCCAGTCATCCGCACGCGCAGTCCGCCGGAGTGCTGCAAAGATGCGGCTCGGATAGTCACAGCACGCTCCTTCGAACGGCACACACGTCGCGACTCCCAACAACAGCACCGGCAAAAGAAGCGTCTGAGAGGCATGCAGGCGACTGGCCCAACATCGCCAGCCTTACCCGAAGATGCGGTTGCGACAACCAAGCTCTGCTTCGAGCTCTTCTTTGAGAGCCGGGCTCGCCAAAGGTCGCCCCAGGCGAGATGCGGGCGATGGCGCAGCCGCTGCGCTCAGCAACCACGATGCCGCCTTTTGGGGATTCGCAGAGCTCTCAGAAGGCAGCACCTGTTTCACTAGCACCCCCGGCCTGAGAGCACAAACATGCAAGGATCCTGCTCGACGCAACCCTCCACGACCACCGTCTGCCCGTGCCTTCCCAGTGCAGAGCACATCGGCAGCGGCTCGCAAGGCTCGCAAGGCTCGCGAAGGGCATGAGGCCGGCGCAGGTACATCGCCGACGTCACGCGGGCGTTCAAGGCTTCCAGAAAACCCGTCCTGCGAGATGCGCTAGGAAAGCCGCGAAAGCCATCGGCGATCTGTGCGAGGCACCCGCAGGCCCGGAAGAGCTCTACATGGCGAACCTGGAAGCTGAATAAAGGAGATACTAGTAACTAGTAATGATCTTCTTTTGCAGCTGCGCTCCCGCCGCACCTTGCTGCCCGAGATGCGGCCACCCTGTTGGGCGGTCTTCAGCTTCTCAAAGTGCTCCTGCAAGAAAACCGACTGGTACCCTCGACAGCTCTCTTCTCCCGGCACGCGCCGTCTCAACAGGGTGCTTCTTGAGGGCCTTGTGCAGAGACGGCCTTTCAGACAGAGAGAGAGAGAGAGAGAGAGAGAGAGAGAGAGAGACACCACGGCACAGAAGGAGAAAACCCCAGAGCTCACGGAGCTCATCAAAGCTCTCAACAGTTGGCAATCGCCGCCTGGCAATCGCCAGGACAAGCGCAAAGGGAGTGAACACCTGAAGAAAGGCAAGAGGGGCCCTGACGTCTTTCTCAACGATCAGTGCAATCTCCAGGCCCCGCACCCGGACTGTAGCATTCGCCTCCTTGGCGATGCCGATCAGCGTCCGCTCCTAGAAGCATGCGCATAGTGACGGGAAAAGCGAAAGAGATGCAGGCAACGAAGCGCAGGGATGACTGAGGATCAGACACCGAAGCAGTTTCCGGCCGGGACTTCGTTCACGGTACCAAGCCCAGCGATCTGAGCTGCAACATGGGACCGGCAAAGGTCGCGTACCAGCACACCATGCTCCAACTGCCGTTTGTTCGTCCTGTTATAAGCTTTCGAACGGCGTACAATAGCTCCCGGCGAACCTGGATGCTCACACGGCCGTGCTCCAGCACGAAGAGGGTCCCGGCCTCACATTCATGCTGACCCGAAGTGACAACTCCCCAATCCTTGCTTCTATAGGTAGCAATCCACTCTGCAATTCGCCTCGGAGCCCGTAAGAATCTTGGAGCTTCGGCTCGAACGGTGCTTTTCGTTTCTTGGCTCCGAGGTTTCCCGCCGCTTGTCCGATGCTTTTTTATGGCGCCGCAATAGCTCGTCTTTGACCAGGCTGAGCTCTCCGGCAGTGCCCCCCTGCTGCACGACTGTCTCTCCAGCGAAGAGCAGGCGCCGCTCCTGATGTGCAACCGGTTTAAGGGCGGGGGCGGTCTCTTTCGTCTCGGGTGCAGACCCCGCTGCTGGCCACATCGTTGACGAAGCCCAGGTCACAGCCGAAGAACAAGTTCAGCCTCGCCGAGGCTCCGACTCAAAGCGACTCAAAGCGACTCTCTCGCCGGCTCCCAGCGCTCGGATCTGAGGAGCGCTCGAGCTGGCGACCTCCGTCTTCGTCAGGAGGCGCTCCTCATACGCATGTCCACTTTAAAGAGACCCCTTGTCCCTGATTCGGAAATGGCTCCCAGCGCGGGAACGCGGACGAGGGCTCAAGGTGACCAGCACTTTTTGTAGACAAGCTTCATGGCTGAACTGGGGGCCGATTCGCAGGCTCTGAGTCTCGAGTGCCCAAACAGACAAAGTGCCAGATTTGGGGCCCTACGTTTGAGGACGCAGCAAACTTAGACACTTCCAGAGCCCCGAAATGGGCGAGATAGTGTCTCTCTTCTCAGCGCGATAAGCGTGCGGCCCAATAGAAAGGAGGACTCGAACCCAGTGACCCTGCCGCCTTTACACCCGATCCCTACACTAACTGCCCAGCCGAAGCTTCAATATGCAGGGACGTGGGGTTTACAGTATCAAGCCTTGTTCCAGACTCCAAACGGGGTAGGAGTGGTGGGGCGAAGCGAAAGATCAAAGAAGAGCTCTCCCGTTTGCAGGTTCAGGCTCAGAGGTTTGAAGAAGTTAGAGGGGGGGCAAACAAGTCAACTGCCCAGTCCGGTCCCCGTCCCCCCACTCCGGTCCTTGATGCACTCTGCCACATCCACGAGACGGTCTGTCGCAGGATGTAGCAATGCAGGGTACACTGCCTGAGGAAAGTATGCGGGGCATGCTAGCACATCCCAACTTCTGAACAAAAACTGGCAGTGAAATAAGCGTGGACACAGAATGCAATGTCACAGGTCAAGCAGGCTGCCAGCACGTTCAGAATGACACGGCCCGGAATTACCACGGCCTGTCGCTTCGCTTCGTTGGGAGTGGAGTGGAATTGGGGCTTCTTGGCTTCCTGGGCTCTTTTTCCGCCTCCACGTCGGTCTTGGCACGGACGGACGCAGGCCGAGGAACCAGGGCTCCAATCAGACCTCCGGTGCGCTCGAAAGGGAGCACAGAAGAAACGACGGACAAGTTGGGGACATTTGGGTTTAGGCTTTAGGTTTCGGGTTTAGGCTTTAGGAGTTTAGGGTTGGGCAGCGGACTGATATCGCCGATGATGGCACCGGCTCGAAGACGTCCCACCGTCTGGCAGCTGCAGAGGTGCGTGAGAAGATCACTTGAAACAGGAAAGTCCCGAAACAGCCGCCGGCCTGCTGCTCTGCCGTGCCATCCACCTCTTGAACCTGCACCGACGGCTGAGCTCCTATCTATCACAGCAGAGTCTGCACTGATGCCTTCTTGAGCACAGAGGCAACTCCATTCACAATGATGACCAATGCATCTGCATCCTGCGACCGCAGGCCGCAGGCCGCTCCGAGAGGGAACCGAACTTCCCGCAAGCCGAGCTTGAAAGGCGAAAGAAGAGGCTCTCGGCTCTCCTCTCCGGTTTCACCCTCCGCCACCACGTTCGAGCCCTTCGGAACGAAGCACCGTTTCGAGCCCTCGGCGAGGGTGAACACGGCCTGCAAACGGCACAGCACATGGCACAGCATGGCATTATAGGCGGCACGAGAGAGCCTCGAAGGGTGCGCCAGGGAACACGGTCAGGATGAACCGGCTCATCATCTCCTGAGGGACGATCTGGTGCTCTAGAGACGCCAGCTGTGTGGAGCTCTGGCGGTGGAAGCGGCACTGTGACTTGGGCTGCAGCCGTCCAGACGGAAGTCACCTCTTCGCCTCAGGTACATTCCACAATCGGCAGAAGCTCCGCATTCGACTGATAGATAGTCTCTTTCCCTGCTTCGAGCGAAAGGCAGTTCATGCCAAAGTTCCCGAGCGTCTTCATCGACAATTCAGCCTGGCAAAGCGGCTTTGTACCCAAGCTATTTTTACAGGGAGCATGCCTCCCCCAATTTACGATCGAGCATGTCTTGAATCTTCTGCAAAGGCCTCGTGTGGACAAGGCACAAGCGAATGAGCCTTCTGGTGGCAAAAGAGACGCGAAGTCCAAGCTCCTAGCGGCAACGCCAGCACCTGGGCCGACTTTTTACCGTGTCGGCCTTCTGAAAAGGCTTTCCTCAAGCCCTGAGTCACGAGATCTGGACCGTGGCTCCACCTGCTGGCAGAGCCGCACCAGCCTGTCAAGCATTGGCCTGCTCTCATGGCCCTGCTGAAAGCTGCTTGTACCTTCGCAGGATGTTCCCCGGCTGCTGCTCCGGTGACTGTCTGGCACAGAGAGGCAATCCACCAAGATAACTGGAGACTTCGTACTGCACATATGCATGTACAGCTACGTTTGGAATTACATCTGAATCTGTATGTAAGCAGCTACAGATGCGTATACTGTTGTCGAATGACATATACATGCATACATCAATCCATGCATGCATACGCCGAGTGCCCCAACCCCCAACCCCCCACCAGCACCAGCACCAGCACCAGCACCAGCACCAGCACCAGCACCAGCACCACCACCACCACCACCACCACCACCGCCAGCATCACCACCGCCACCACCACCACCACCGCCAGCATCACCACCGCCGCCGCCACCACCCGTGCCAAAACAACAACAACAACATTCTTGGTGTCAGGAAGCACCACAAGATGCATGTAAAGTCAGTATTTAACCACTGCTGTTGCGCTGCTTTCAGATAAGGTAAGGGGGATGCTGAAGCAGATAACATATAGGTTGTAGAGATTTCAGAGAAGTTGCTTTGAAGCAAGCGACAGCATCGGTACGGGAAGGCTACATATGACTATAGAAGAGGTTTGGAAACAAGCATTGGAAGCGACACACAAGGTGATGCAAGATCCAAACTTCTGGCCTCATTCACTGTCAAAACTTGAATCTTGGATCCGGGCAGCTTGAGTTGGACAGGTTGAGGCTCAATGTGCGCAGACAAAGGCAAAATACATGGTCGAAACTCCAATACTGGTGTAAAGGTGTGCATATATGCTTCCTGCCGAGGGCGGCAATCAGCATTGAAAGAAACTTGGGGGGCGAGGAAGCGTGCTCGGGCCGCCAGGCTCAGCCAGCCCTGTGCCATTGGAGGGTCAGAGCTCATCCTGCAGGAATACGGGCCTGAGACGTACGGCATCATCATCAAATCCTTGACTTTGGGCAAGCTCCCCGCATGTGTTGAAGAAGGCCATGGTGATATCATCTGGCCCACTATACTCCTGCGTGCTGTACCTATGCTGCTGCCCTCGAATCGAAACAGCGTTCCATAAGGTCCTCCGGCTGCTGTGGCGGGCCCCGAAAATCCACGTAGATGACAGGCGGCAATCCGCTGTAGCCTGCAGACACTCCCGTGTCATCTGATACCAGCGTGGGGCATCCACTCGAGACCCGGGCCGTGAACATCGTAGCCTTGCTGTCGAGCTGCCCTGAGAAAGACAAGGCCCTAAAAGCACACAAAGTTACACGGCTGCGTCGCCCCCTGCACCCCGAAAACGGACTCGGCTTCCGTCTTCGGCCGCAAGGCCAGGCCGCCAGCTCCCAGCCGCTGCTTGAAGACCTTCCCCTCGCGTGAGTTGTGAGTAAACACCAGGAGAAGAACGGTTTGTCTTGTTCTACGATTCTACACGATGCATCCGTCGAGGTCCTCGGCAAGTAGGCGCAGGAAGCCGGCCCCGTTGATGAACTGGCCACGCCCTTCGCTCCGCTCCGAGCATTGAGATTGGGGTGTCTGGAGACTGCGTCTCCGTGCAGCAGTCGCGACCAAGGCGGCAGCCCTGAACTGAGATCTGTTTCTCGTCTCCCACCTGCAGCGGACTCTCTGTACTCCACTCATGACACCTTTCTGCACACAAAAACCCACCGCCTGGAAGCGAACGGCCCCCGTCTCCACAAGGTACAACGAACCACAGTCCGTGAGTTTCAAGACCTCTGCCGCTGTCCGCTCTGATCGGATTCTCGAATCAAGCGGAGTCAGGGGAGGGGGGGAGAGCAACAAAAGACAGAGGCAGCCCTTTAGCTCTAGTCGTTCGGGGCGGTTCCACTCCGCTGCTTGGCTCATGTCTCGTCGTTGCCGCCGCGAGATTTTTCTCTGGAGGCCCAAAGCTCTGGGGCACCGGGGCCAAGACCTCACCAGGGGCCAAGAACTTCCGCTTCGACTCTCGGAGAAGGACCTGGCAAGGGCGAGCGAAGCCCCTCTCTTTTGGGGATCCAAATGAAAGGGCGCTGACTTTCACCGCTTCGGCCCTGGGCTCGGCCCCGGCCTCGAGGAACTCGGAACCGCAGCCTTCGAAGAGCAGGCTCTGCTCCAGGGCTCGGAGCCTTCGACGTCCACCAGGCGAGAAGGGGTCCAGGGCAGTCTAAGCAGGGAGTGGAGGAGGGAAGAGAGAGAGTTGGGGCCCCGAGCAGGGCGGCGCTCCGCTCCGGGTCCGGCTCCGGAGCCGGCGGCCGGGAGGCCTGGGCCAAGACAAGGAAGGGGGAAGAGCGAAAAAGCCCCTTTTCTCTTCTTTTTTTTGCGGCCATCTACGGCCCACAATGCTTTCGGCCCCCTGCGGCCAGGGAGACGTCGCCCGCCACATCAGCCTCCGTGGCAATGCCAGCGCAGCGCTGCAGCGCTCCGGCAGCCGCCCCTTTTGTGCGCTTTCGGTGCGGGGGTCCGCGCCTCCTCGGCTTCCAGCGCCTCCTTGAGAGCTTTCTGCGCGGACACGGGCGTGGGAAGGAACCGCTTGATGGCGGCGATGCGCTGCTTCGCCTCTCAGAGCGAGCACGGCAACTGCGCTGCGGTGCCCAGCGCCCCCACGCCCAAGAACGCCCAAATACCCCGCGCTTCAGCTGAGGCTCCCACGAACTGAGTCGCCTGCATGGCATCTCTGGAACCCGGTGTCTTTGGCGTCTTTGGTGTCTTGGGCGTCTTCGGCTTGTTCACCTTCTCTTCCTGCTCAGATCTCTGCCCGTCGACATGGCGCTGCAGCGAACCGCAGCTCCTCATCCCGCTTGGTCTGGAGGTCCAGGTGGCTCGAGCTTTTGAAGACTCGGCTCTTCGACCTGAGAGCCGAATCAGCAGCTGTTCTGGTGCCGTGCCCCCCCTTCCTTGCGGCCGAGGCTGCCGCACTTGAAGCCGGCTTTTTCCCTCCATTCCAAGGCCTTGAAGGAGAGCCTCGAGCTGTCACTGCCGTCACCTCGGGAAACATTCCCAAAACACACTAGAGCCCAAACTTCCCGGGACGGCGCCCTTCCTCCGGGACGCAGATGCGAGGCTGAAGACGCGCCGCAACGGCTCATCGCAAGCCCGCGGCCGGACCATCGCGCAGTGCCGGGCCGCGGATTGTGCTGCGCCGTCTATGACAGATGCTGTCCATTGCATTGGGTTCTGCGCTGGTGCCTCATGGGCCGTTAACTTGCAAGTGTCACCGTCTGAGTCCCACAGCCTTGGAAACGATAACTAAAATACTGCAGCAGGGCGCCAAGGTGGGACATCCCCGTCACCGACGTCACGACATGAAGTCGCAATGCAGAAGACTAGATTTGGGCTTGCACGGCAGCCTTGTTTCAACAAAGCACTGCTGCGTCACTGCTGAAAGCTCTGACTCATGGGCCGTATCAGCCGTCTCTGAAATCAGGATGCTGGCGTCGAAACTCCGCTTCATGAACTGCAAAGAGAAGAGCCTGAAAGAAGGCCTGTGGAATTTCCACCAAGCCCCTCTCCGACGCATCGGTTTTGGCCGATTGCGTCAAGGTGATGCTGCACTGCTGGCCATCCCAGTTGGCCCTGGCTGGCACAACAAAGAGAACTAGCGCACACGTAAAAAGCTGTCATAACAACATATAACACGGGTAAATTCGCTAATATGATAAAATGTACTAACATATAACAAAGTAGACAACAACCTTGCATAATGTCATATAGGGTGGTATAATGTAGAAGAGACAGGAATGGAATAAAATAGAAAAATAGAAGCTAATACGATAATACTATACTATACTTTGCTAAAGTTCTCAAGCTACATTATGCCATACTTTTCGATACAGGATATGCCATGACATATGAGTTTTTTACCCTGCACCTCACCAGGTCGACCAGATCGAAGCCGCCCCGGGGCGTCGCCGCCGACGCAGCGGCTTTGTGGTCTCGGAAGTATCTGAGAAATCCTTGGGCACTGTTCGGGTCGCCCACGAAGAAGTATCGCGTCACGGAAGAGCGCCGCCCAGCTTTCTTCTTGAAGTAAGCTCCGGTTCTTAAGATGTTGCTGGCGAGGTCAAAACTCATGGCCTTGTCATCCGCGGTGTCGGGAAGATCCCGGCCGTTTGGCTTCCATGCGTTCACGAACTTGCGCTGATGATCCAAGGACCGCGAGGAGGGCGGCGCCGGCGCCGGCGAGCTCTCAGGCGGACCTGAGGCCCCATCAAAGAGGGACGTCTGCGTGGCGCGGACTTCGCGGGCTTCGTGGGCCGACGCCGAAGCGGCGGGAGCGGCGGGAGCGGCGGCGGACGCGGCTCCGGGCGCTGGGCTCGCCGGCGCGGCCGTCGCCGCGGCCGTCGCCGCGGCGCGCTCGGCGGCTTCCCTGACTTCGAGCTCCTCTGTCGTGAGGACACATCTGGGACTGCCTATACACTCTCGCGAAATCTTTTGCAAAGGCTGGGGTGTAGGATTTAGGTGTCAGGGTTTAGGGCTTAGGGATGACTTGAGACCAGGAGCCAAAGACTCCAGGGCCCGATGCTGCGCCGCGGCGTCTCTGGCAGCTTCCGCTACCGCGAGGCTCCTTGCCCTCTGCAGCTCGACCTGAAACCACCAAACATCTCAAGGATCCGGGGCTCCTGCACCTAAGAACTACGTAACTACGCAACACCTCTACAAAGTTTGACACCAGATCCGAAGAAATCAAAATCATCACTGTGCCAGTGATCGGGTGCACCTTTGCAATAGGAACAATCAGAGCAACGAGTGGCATGGTCCAGCGGTGGTACTGAATATGGTTGCAGCCATTTCTAGCAAGAAATCGCAGCCACAACGGCGATCGCATGAGAGCGACATTTCCGCGAAGGAGAAGAAACAGGTGCACAACTGCCACCTGCATCACCATCGTCAGCGTCATCACCGTCGTCATCATCATCATCATCATCATCCTCGTCATCCTCGTCGTCGTCGACGTTCTTACCACCTTATCACCACAACATCGACATCATCGACATCGCCGTCAGCACATGTCACCGGCATCCAAAACAAGCGCCTCTCCACAGGAAGTGTCGCGCCTCCTGGCGCTCGGCCCTGGCGGCGGCCTCCCGCAGGTCCCGAGCCTCCGCCGCGGCGGCGAAGGCCGACGGAGCCCCGGCTCGGGCCGTCTGAGCCTGCGACAAAAAAGGAGGGGCCAAAAATTGCCACTTATTACTGTAGCCATCTGTAGAGCCCTCTTTCAAGTCCCCTCCTGGCCTCACCGAGCCTCAGCTTGACCTGCCAGATGTCGTGGTTTCATTGCTGTACGCTGTGGTGCTCTGGTTTTTCTGATCGGGCCTCCATGCCACGGCTTGCCTCCAGCTCTGCTTCCAGCGTCTCGGCGCGTCTGCTGAAGGCCACCAGCTCCTCCCGACCTGGCTCCGAGCTCAGAGATCTCACAGCCGCTCGGACTAAGACTCGGACTAAGACTCGGCCTTTTCTGAGCCTCTGGCACTTCTCTTCCATCTGCTCCTTCAGGCCACCAAGAAGTCCGCCCGTGTCCCGCATCTCCAACCTGGAGCTCTCAGAAGCCCTCGGCCTCCCAACCCTGAACCCTCAACCCTGAACCCTAAACCTGCACATATTGTGCAGGCAGTTCTGCGAAGGCAGCACGGGTATCATCATCAGGGGGAGCATTCTCGGAGCTCATTACGGTAAACCCTGTTCGAATTGAGAAAGGCCTGACGGCCACTTTTTTCTTGAGCCACACATTGCGTTCGCGGTTGCTCGTCTCTGCAGAGGCATCTGTGCACACTCTGCTGTTGCGAAGAGCTACCCTGCTGCACATGCCGACTGAACTTGCACTTCTGTCGACTGTCACCGGATCTGCACTCCTCCTCGCCCCCTTGTTCGCATCATCCGACTGGGGGTGTCAAAATATAGAGCCCTTGTGTCCGGTCGCAGTAGTTGCAGAGTTCCAATCGTCGGGGTGCAGATGATGCGTTCCGCTGTCCATGGCAGTAGCTTCTCAAGTGAACCCTGTCTCCGTGTGGAGTAACATAAAAGGGTCCACGGTAAGCTTCCAGTCTGTCGACTGGTGTCACTGCGGGACCTGGTTCCGTCTGAGTGCCCGTAGTACGCACACTCGACCTCCGCGACATCGAGCTCGTGGAGGTCCTCCATGAAGTAGCCGCCGCTTCAGAGGTCGTTTCGTACCTCCTCATCTCCTCCTGGACTGCCGTCTGAGCCCGGGCTCGCAACTTCTCTAGTCGTTCTCGCTTGCGACGCGCCGCCGCACACCACTTAGCGACCAGGTTGCCAGCCCCCTTTAACAGCTCCCAGATAGCAACAGCTGCCACAGCAGCTATCATCACCATCGCATAGAACTCCAGGGAACCATCTAAGGGCAAGTCCTCTTTGTTTGCGCCAGCAGTCTTCAGGATCATCAGACAGACCAGTATAAACACCAGCGGCCTCTTTTTGTTCACCACTGACATCATCTTCACCGTAGTCGCTGCTGCATCCCCACCTTTCCACGGGACCATTCCCCATAACGTCATCAGGGATCTGAACTTAGGTAGGTCAAAGGCCTTTGTGCCGATGTCCGCCTTCTGCAGGTCCCCGGGTACGTGAGTAATGAGCAGCCTCTGCTCATTGACTTCTTGACGAAGAAACCTCGCCCGTATACGAAGGTGTCGGGTCTTCCACGACCCGGGGGCCTGGCTTGCCAGGCCTTGCGCAGCCTGATTGTCGATCTTCAACACCATCACCGGTGTCTCTCCCAGCTCGCGCAACATGGTTTCGACTCCTAGACCGAGTTGAACCGCAGCAACGCCCTCGTACAACTCCGCCTCGGCGACCGAGAGAGTAATCACTGGTTGCTTACTCGCTCGCCAAGCCACTGGCATTCCGGCCAGTTGGGCCATGATACACCCAAACGAGCGCCCACCGCCAGGCGCAAAACTTGCGTCTGAAAACACCGTAAGTAGAGGCTCGGACTTATCGTGGTAGTAGTACATGCCGTAGTCCGCTGTGCGCGCCAGGTATTGCACCATTCTTTTGTGAATCTCCAAAGCCCTCTGCGGTTTGTTGAGTGCTCTGGCCGCCATACATGCCACACTGTGCGCCAGCTCCGGCCGGCTTCTCGTACTCAACCACAATGTTTCTCCTGTAGCCTTCTGCGCCATCTTGACCAGCATCTCATCAGCTGGTGCTGGCTCCTCATCAGTGTCCTCGTTTGTAACCATTCTCGCGCACACGGAACGGTCAGGCCTTTGTCTGATTCCTCCACTCCATGTTGACGTAGAAGATCTCTCACATATCCAGCTTGCGAAATATGCAAACCATCTTGCCAAAGCCTGAGTTCCACGCCAAGAAACCTGATGAATCCGTCCTCAATCTTTTCCAAGGCCGTACACTTCCATGCACAGTCGTAGAGGCTCTGTATGATGGAAGGGCTGGAAAGGAATAAAATATCGTCCACATAAATCAAAACCACTCCTTTGACTTCTTCTTCGTTCTCACCCTTGACCATCCAGACATTCTCGTCCGTTTCCATGTTTACCATCACCAAGAAACCTCCTTCATGTGGTACTCGAGCAGTATGGAAACGATTGTTGCGGAACAACCCCCATAGCCGGGGTGCTTCTCTTAGCCCGCACAACACTCGCTGTATTAGCCACAACTCCCCCGGCTCCGCCTCCTCGGCCATAACAGCCACTGTAGGTGGTTGCAGCGCATACAACATGTCCCCCGGCATAGGAGCTAGTCAGCTAGTGTGAAGGCATTCGAAATGTCTGTGCCTCCAGCGGACCACCGGCGATATACTGCATAGGCCACCGCAATCCGGAAGGAGTCCGCCGAGGTCCCGCTCGCGTAGACGTCGTTGTTGTTCTGTGGCAAGTAGTTCCCACAGACAACCAACCGGCACTTACGTCGGTACATAGTTGCATCACCCTCCTTTGTCTCGACCGGCGGCTTGACAGTGAACACTCCCTTTCCTGGGAGCACCACCATGCCCTTCGTTCGTAGTTCACGTGCTTCTTGAGGACTTATTCGCTTGATCGTGCCACTGTCAATCAACGCCTTCACTTCTTTCTGAATAGCCGCTCGCCACTTTGGTAAGTGTTTCTTCACCTCCGGCAAACTAACATTGTGTACTACCTCCAGCGGTGCTTGTAGTTCCTGCAACAGCTGTTCCACCTCCACATCCACAGCCGCCCCAGGAGAGACCTTCATGATCTTTCGGATCCTAGTCCTCTCTTGATGCTTGATATCATTTGCAAACTCCTCGAGCATGGATTCCAAATACAACGAGTACTCATCTTGGTGCTCCCTTTCATGCCGTAAATACTCTTGGCTCTCCAAGCAACACCTCAGCACCCTTGCTTGATGATCGACCTCCTCCTCACCAGTTTCCGAGGTTTCCTCATCTGATATGCTGCTGCCCAACTCCTCCTCATCCTCGTCTGCTCCATCCATAGGCACCGAAGAACTCCTCAGAGGAAAGCCCGCCCGCTTCAGATGTACAACAGTCTCTGGCTTCAACTTATCCACGCCCAAGGGAGTAAAACCGGCCACAATCCAACGCTCCGCCTCCTTGTCCACATAAGAGTGCACTGTCCTTGGATTAAAGGCAACCACACGTCCATTGATCTTCACTAGGTCCCCGTGCACCTTGCTGCCGTCAGGTAGTTCCCGTACATGCTCTAAGCTTTTTCCTTCCTCCTTGACACCCAATAACTCCATCGTTTCTCGCCACCCAAAACCCACCAGCATCTCTGTTTCCCACCTCCGTAGCATAGTTGAGGGAACCAGGTTGATTGCGAAGATCTCTGTGAGGGGGAATATCCTTCGCCTTGAAAACACCGAGTGTAGTCCATGCCACATCCCCAGGAATATCCGCTGACGCCCGCAACTTCAACATAGCGTTCAGGTACTTTGTCAGCCACGTCCTTTTCCCCGCCGCCAAAGTTATTCCCCGTAGGCCTCCATGAACATACGCTCCCAGCACCATCGACGAAGTCTTTGTCCCTCTGGTCCCGGTCCTCATTTTCCTCGAACATCAACAGCGTCCAACAGCTCCGCGCAAGACTCATCGTCGAACTTCGCGTTTTCGTAGAAGTACTTGGCCTTTTCCTCCTGCTGCTTGAGTAGGGAACGCATGGTCCAATCCCCTTGTTGCCGTGGTGGTAGTTCCGGTGCAAGCCTTCGGACTTCGGGTGGTGGTTGTTTTTTACGTAGGCGATGATCTGGTTCGGGTAGGTCCACTGTAAGTCTGCGTTCCACTCCAATGCCTCCCACACCCCCGCCGTCATCCTCCTCCTCATTCGGGTTTTCCGCTAGTAGTAGATGAGGATCAACGAGGTCTGTTTTAAGATTCTTGGTTTCTGTAAGTATGCCACTTGGTCGTAGAACAACTGCTCCTCCTTTGATAGTGTCCGACAGACCCAGGTAAACTCCTTTCTCCCATCTGTCCGTGAGGTCATACTTCTTGTTGTTCCCGAACACCTTCCGTCGAATGAACACCTCTGCACCAAACTTGAGCAGCTCTGGTTTGGACAATCCCAGACGATCATAGATCCTCCTGTGAGCTGCGTGCTGCATCGCCAGCGTCCAATACTTCAACGGTACCTTGGCCTCATCCAACAACACCTTGGCCCTCGTCTTGAACCATCGTACTCCACGTTCCGCTGCCCCATTTGTTTGCGGCACCAAGGCTTCCGAACGGGTGTGGTAGATGTCGTGGTCCAACAGCCATTTTCTCAGCCCCTTCGAAGCAAACTCGGAGCCTCTGTCTGTGTGTA